CGGGGAGGCCCAGGACGCGCTTGCGTTTGCGCTTCACGTCCGCGTCCATCAGCTGCAGCTCCTGCAGCACGCGGCGCACGCAGCCCTCGGGGACCTTGATGCCTGCGGGAGGCGGGCGAGCAGGCGCTCATCAGGGTCCTCGCGCTCCCGCCCCCACCCCGCCCCTGCAGTCCCGCCGCCTACCGGAGACCCCGCCCCCGCCGCTCACCAACTTGCTTCTTCTTGTCCTTGGTCTTGAGGCGCACGATCTGCAGGTAGCTGCTGCTAGTGATCTCAGACATGACGGCGGCGATGCGGCCCCACACACGCAGCAGCGCCCCGCACAGCATGTAGTGGTGGCGCAAGCGCAGGCCCTGCACGCAGTCCTTGCCTTCCTGCAGCAGCCGGCAGTGGCCGTTCCTGCAGCGAGCGGGGCGGGAACCGGGCGAGGCTCAGCCATTCCTCAGGGAGCCCCAGGGCGCCTCACGTGCCCAGCTCCCCGCCCGCCCGGTCACGCTCTCCTGTGACCGTCTCCCTATTACAGCTGCGCCAGAAGGCCAAGCGAGCCAACTGGGAGCCACAGAGGCCTGTTCAAGGAAGGCCCCGCCCCGCCCCTCCCACCCCTCCCCAGGCCCCACGCCTCCCACGCCGGCCGCCCCGCTTGCCCTCACCACGCCGCGTGGCTGCAGTGTGTTAGCGAGAAGGTGTAGCTGTTCTGCCAGTGCTCCTGGGCCTCCGCAGCCGTGACCTGGGGACAAAGCCACGTGAGCCTCTGGACACCAGGGCCTGTGGCAGGTAGCCGGGGACCCCCCCTGGCGGCGCCTGGCCCTCACCTGGTGGAACTTGCGACACAGGCTGTCCAGGGTCTCCAGCTGGCTCTGCCGGCCGATGTTGGGCTTGTACACGGTAAAGTGCTTACCACGGCTCTGCTCCGCCAGGAGGCAGCTCAGCTTGTTGCCGCGTACCTGGGGGCGGGGGGACGCGTAAGGCCGGGGGACACGCCGGAGAAGCGCGGGAGTAAGGGCTGGAGGAAGTGGGTAAGCAGGGTGCAGGCGGAGACGCCCACCTTGTAGGAGAGGTAGAAGCCGTCATAGGTGCCCGTCAGTTCCAGCGACTTGGCGTACGCTTCCTCCCACCGGAGACCACGGTCCACGCTGATCTGCCACCGCACAAGGGCCGTTAGCAGGGCTGGACAATGGAGCTGGCAGTGGCGGGGAGCGGAGCAAGGGCGGTTCCTGCTTACCTTGTAGAAGACCACCTGCCCGTCCTGGGGGTGCCCGGGCGTCAGGAATACCTGCTGGCTCTCTTCATAGATTTCGTCCACACCTGGGGCCAAGTCTGGGGAGGAGGCCAGGCGTGGGATGAGCGTCCCCCAGCCTGGGCCGGTTCAAGCTGCTCGCTCCTCCCTCCCGGGTGCAGCCCTGGGCCACGTCCCCATGCGGCCCCTCCCACCAGCACCCCCCAGGACGGCCCGAGTCCCCTGGGACCCTCACCCAGGATGCCCATGTCATATTTGCCCTCTTTCTTGTCCGCCTCCAGAAGATGGTCGAAGGTGTCCGAGAAGTACTGGAAGAGTGCATTCTGCTTGTGCACCTCCAGGCCCAGGATGCGGTTCAGGAACTTGGTGATGGAGCAGTCTGCGTGGGCGGGGAGGGAGGGTCGCCCCAGGGTGAGCCGGGAGCCCCACCCTTTCCCTTATGGTGGTCCCACAGGAGGGGCCTCAGTGCCCGGGCATCCCTGCAGAGCACTCACCCTTCTCCACGTCCAGGCAGCCCGACCTCGACTCCCGCCCACTGATTCCAACTGACAACAGGCCCTGCTTCATGTCTAGGGGGGGCACAGAAGGGTCCTCACACGGGTCCTCCCCTGCCCCACCCGTCCGCCAGCCCCCCACCGCCTCAGGCCTCAGCTCTTACAATGCCCCAGACAGGATGGCCCCCCTCCCAGTCCCCTCGTGTACCCCAGGGACAAGCTGAGGGAGGAGATGGCCAACCCTGGATCTGCCCCACCTTTTGGAGGGACTCAGTTTCCCCATCTGTAGGACAGGGACTTGATTTTGGTAAAGTAGGTGTCACAGGGCCAGGCAGACACAGGCAGGGTGGGCTTCCCTTGAGTGGGCTGGGCTGCCCCACCGCCCTGCTGACATCACAATCCTGAGGTGCGACTCAGGGAGGCGGGGCTTCCCTGGGGACGGGGAGGGCTGCACCGGCAGCCTGGGTCCCAGCGGGGCATGAGAGTCTTTAGCTTTTTCTCTTTTATTTTGTCTCTGCTGAACAGAGAGGGCCATGCCCCTCGGCTGCCCAGAAACGCACCCAGGGTCCCATCCCCTTTACTGTAAATGTCCCCTT